TATAGATTATTGAAAATAAATCCATTTATTATTTCTCTTAAAAACTTTGCAAAGCCAGTTGATGATCGTGATAACATTTTGCTAAAACATGAGGATGATTACTTTGAGAAAAAGAATATTTTCACAAGTCCGCGCGTAAAATATCACATGGTACCCTTTTTAGAGGTGTTCTTTGTTGAAGAATGTGTATGGAACACGGTACTGTCTTACATATGAGGAATAAACATTATACGCAGTGTTCTCTACGCCTGTGCACTTAAAATTTGTATTTATGTTTATATGTATTTATGTTCAGAGGAATTGTAAGTTTCTGTCATTTAGATTTTTACCCCCACCCCACCCTTCCTCACCAACGCACACATTAATTCTGGGTCTCTATTATTTGATTGTGTGCGGATTATAACTCATTCATTTGTTTATGAAATTTCCACCTTTTTGATTTGTAAATATTAAAATATTTTAAATGCTAGACTGAAAAATATTTCGCGTATCATTTATATTTTCCAAAAAGCAGTGGACATCATTATTCACCCCATGCAGACAGACAATCTTATATATGCAGTGAATCAATCGAATTTCCTTTTTATTCACTGTCTTTCGTATAGCGTAATAACATGTTACCATTCTTCGCAATTTTTTTGTCTTTATATGAAATTTAGAAGAAAAAGAACGATCAAATAAATTTTCATTTCGCAGTAGCATTGAGGTAGCGTATTATTGTTCCAGATATAGTTTTTTAAAATTAATTTTCACATATATGGTAACCAAAGATATATCGCTTTTATGCTGAATTCAAGCAAAAAAAAATACATCTTGACCAATTGAGAGCAATGTTTAAATTATAATAATTTTCTAATGAATTCTACAGTCTTATCAAATGACTCTTGTATGGATTACAAGTAAATATTTTGTTTGAAAAAATAATTGTTTCCAAAAAGACTGAATGGATGTCGCCCGCTAGCTGTTCAGGTTGCCCCCTGCTGTCATAAAAAAAAAAGAAATGTTGCGCAAACACTCGCTCATAATACTAAACACCACTGCTGAATCCATAATGTATATACATGTAACTATTAAATAATTATTAATGATTAAAAGAGACAATGAGATAAAAAAAATAATGCGCATGGGCAAACATAAATATTATGTAACTATTAATTACCGTAGTAAAATTACAAAAGAAAATCATTTTACCTTCACTCTGAAAACGTTTGACGTTGTTGAAAAACATGACGTCATTATGAACTTGTTAAAGTATCTTTGATTAAATTGAAGAAAAAACCTACTTAGAGTAGACGTAGGACCAAAATAAAATTCATATTTGACAACTTTTAACCTTACTCTATCAAAATCCGTGAAAAACTCAAAATGCATAATAATTGCTAAAAAGGTCCCTTTTCCCATGGGCGCAATCAATTGTGTGACCAGTACTATTTTTATTTTAACATTTAACATCCCCGGGTTTCTACGTTCCTGGACTCTGCTTTATATATACAGGTTGAGAAAAATATCAAATGCATAAAGTTTATGTAATTTATTAATGAATTTATTATTTTAAAACATTATCAATGTCAATAATGAAACGTTACAACGTATCTAATTATTTACGTGTACCGCGATAAACACACGGGTGCTGAACGGACACGCTGTCATTTTAACTTGTAAATGTACCTATGCTTGTTTACACCTGACGTTATAATTTCATATTAAGTTATCTTTTATTAACAAAATATCAAAGTACTATCTGTAATATATTGTAAAATACTTTTTTGTGAAATTCTCATCATTTAATAAATGTTTACCACTTTATTTATGAGAACTCAGAAGTGTTAAAATTCACAACGTCATTATGACGTTCCGTAATATGTACGAAATTCGGCCATATACATATGCTATTTTGATGACCTCTTACGGAAAATATGAAAGAGATATTGAAAAAAGAAAGTTGGTTTGAAAAAATATGCAGTCTGTAGATATATCTAGAGGCAAAATTGCCTATTTTGAAAACAGGCGAATTTGTGTACTTTCTGACTCAAGCTCTTTAAATCTATTTTCTACTAGTATACAAAATAAAATCAGAATTTTTTTATTTGCACCATCGACCAGTGACGCAGCTCGGCAAAAATGGAGTGGGTTCTTTTAGTACTACAGGAAATACTTTTCAATCTAGGGAGGGGAACCTTGCAGGCCTGTAGCAACATTCAGGAATTAACCAGCGCTTGACCGTACAGTAACAAAAAATGCGGGGGGGGGAGGGTGTCATCAAAAGGTAAATTTAATTTAGGAACATAATATCCTCAGAAAAAAGTGGAGGGACAGCCCCCGGGTCCCCGGCATTCTAAAGGCCTGCATGGAAAGTAGTTCCGCAGAAATTGACAATATCACAAGATTAGGGTGTGCTAGGTTGAGTTTCGCGGGTATGTGAAGGAAGAATATAAATCATTTCTCGGGGAAAATTAGACTTTTTAAACAAAATTAAGTTTGATAATTTACTAAAACCACTGATAAACATAAACTTTTATTAACTATTGCATAAAGATAAGAGAGCGTCTAACGCAATGACGTGCACCACCACCACGGCATCACGTGACTTCTATTAAAAGAGAAATGTTCGTTAATAAAAAAGCTAATAGAACAACAATATCCCGGAGTTTAATAACTTCTTTGAGTAAATAATATAGTCGAAAACATTTTTTTTGCCTAAAAAGTGCTGCTAGAATCCCACCGCCCTGTTAGTAAATTAATTATAACGCACATTCGGACGACACCTTACCTTACGTTTTGTATTTTACACATACATGTATGAACCGAGAATTTTCGTAAAACCATGCTTAACACGTGATTCTAGCAGCACTTCCCAAGTATTTTAGAAGGCGAACTTTCCATCTGTACAAATCTTATGTTTTGAAATATCCAGCTTATTGTTGTTCTATGGCATTATTTTTGTCACGAATGACCGAGGAAAGGCCGACTGGGATACGAATATAGCTGACTGTCTTCAAAAGAAAATATAATTGATAAAAATAAATTAGCATACCTGTTTATTTAAATGTACTTCATATAATTTCACATATTCTCGATATTTGCTTTTAGACTCCATTTTACGTATCTTTGTACATGCCGTCCTAGTCATATTCTCTTTACATGACATGATCAATTCCTAAGTTGCTCGATGTACACATATGACGTCATTATTGTTGGATTTTAATGAAATTGACAGATACAGCATAACAAAATAAAACATCTTATTTTTGTTAATTTTTACATGTTTCAATTTATTTCCTAGAGTTAAATTACATCTCTAAATAACAATATTACGAAAACCTGTGTTCTAAAATTGACGTCATCTCGCCTACTATGACGTCATAATGTTGCACTGACTTAGTCAAGGTAGAATATTCTGTATGCTTCCTTATCACCCCTTCGTTTTGAATGTACAGTTTAATTTTTTAAAATTTATTAACATATACGTCCTATCATCAAATACATGTTATGCATTTTGTACCTATTTATTTTAAAAATGTGGATGCTTAGGCATAAAAACATAACGTTGTTAGCTACACCAGTGATTAAAGTAAATAAACGTATTTGTTATCATCATTTACCGTTTTGTCTCTAAATTTTCGATGAATTTTAATTGGTGATCAATTATCGAATGAAAACCCCGTAGAATTTATAGAGTCTGTCTCTCTACAAAAATCCTTCTTTAGCTGCACAGAACTTTTTACTGTGCTTCAAAGGGCAGATGATACAAATATTTTTTTTTCTTTGGGGACTTAATATCAAGTTACTGGTTTAGAAAAGTTGTTAATACTTAGAAATTTTTCTCGTTAGAATTGGAAAGTGAAATATACTTGGAAAGTATTAGTAATATGTCAATAAAATAACAAATATGGACACATCACACTCAGTAAATGTTCACATGTGAAAGAAAATTCCAGAATAGGTAAGCTTAGTTCTAAAAGTGTAACAAAAATTTTTAAAAAATATATTAAGCCAGCTGAATTTTATGCCGTAAGATAAAAAGAAAAACATCAGAAAAATCAATGAGGCGGATTTTTACCCTTTTGCTTTTCTCAATAAAATTCACCTGCTTTGGTATATTTTTCTTAAATTTACATTACACGCTCATCGCCAGGCAAACAAATTCTGAAATTTGTTTTCATCTGTAAACTTCCACTTAGTTTGTTTTGTCCATATTAGTAATAATTTTGAAATTCTTATTCTATTTCCAAGTCTGTTTCATTTTCCAGTTCTTAAGAGAAAAAGATTCAAAGTCATACCCCTTTTCTACACTTGTAACATGATATGAAGTCTCCTCGAAAGAAAAAAAAATATTATCTGTCATTAATTACATTACTGTGGTCCTCACCCTCCGGGAAATCAACCTTGGGTATATGAAGAAAACAATCCCTTAAACAGAACTGAGGCTTTAGAAGTGTGTGGATATCAAGAGAATGCAGTTTATGATTACCATCATATAATTTACATACATGTAACTGTGCGAGAATATACTGTTTATATTTATATGTCTATCTTTATACCCCCCGCTTGAAAAGTGGGAGGGTACATAGTAATCGTTAATTCCGTCCGTCCGTTCGTCCGTCTGTCTGTTACGCTTTGGGGTACCCATCTCTTATCCGCAACTCCTCTCATACCACTGAATGAAATTTGATGAAACTTTCACAGAATCTTTATTACATAATGCCATTGTGCATCTCCTATTTTATTTTTTGATCCCATACATTTTTTGCGTTTCCCGGCCACAGGAAAACATGGACTTTTTCACCAGTTATAACCATATGGGAGGCGGGGGGTATCATTTAGTGAGCTCATCGCTCACAGTACCTCTAGTTTAATTTTACATTTTAAATAACCCCATAAAAAGCCTATTGCACTGAGCTCTACAGAACATTCTTTTGAAACTTAAAATATAATTTTGTGTTTATTTAATATGAGTACGTGACATTGATCTGGATTAACTTATTTTTTCTAAGTTTCAGACACGTGAGAAATCATGGAAAGGAGAATTCCAGCGAAATCGATTGGACAAAAACGAAAGGGTACGGATGAGGAATAACTTCTAATTCATAAAAAAATATTATTCTGATGCGTATGTTTGTATAAAGAAGTACGCTACACAAAAATAAATCTTAAAATATATTTTATTAAAAATCTGTTGATATACTGAAATGCAAAAGAAACGCAACGAGCAGTATTCTACAAATGTTTGAATTTTTTATCTAATGATGTTCAAAAAGGAAAACAGTAAGGTTAAACCCACTTTTCAGAACATCAGAGATTTGATAAAAATGTTAAATGTTTTTCTTTTACCTTTATTAAGTAACATATGACTGTTAAAACACTCCCTTCCAAACCATTCAATTACAACGTGCAACACTGCCCTAAACAAGAATTGCAGTTTATTTTTTTCGATACAATAGGTATCGAGATCTGAATTATTCTTTGCCATTTTCAAATGCCTGTTTTTCAGATAATTACGTCGAATTTTCTCTAACTTAGCGCATTGTATGAACCCTTGGAATTTCGGTCCAAGGACTACCATTTATATATAATTATGCATATGATACGTAAGAACCCATTGAGGCTTTAAGTAGTGTATTTTTGCATCATCAACTCTCCATCACCTTTACTTTGAGATTTTCCAGCTAGAGCGGAGCATCTGTATGTCATGCAATTTATTTAATTATAATTACATATATATGTTAAATTAGATCTTCCTGAAGTACCATAGTGCTGAGATAATATGTGTGTATTTCTTTTTTTCTAGTAGTATGCTAGTCTGTAATGTTTTAATATTTGAATCATGACATTCTGTGATATTTTTACCTGAATAAAATGAAATGAAAAAAGAGAAATGGAAATGCGTACTTATGCCATTTTCAAGAAGCCTAAGCATCGTTACGAGAAACGAAAGGAGATTTTACTTTTGAATTATTGCTGCATTACTTACGATGAACAGTACAAACCCTTAAAACTCCATAATATTGCCAAATGTTTTGTTAAACATCAATGGGGCATATTTGTAAACTCAAATAAAATTAATTATATCAAAAACACCTGTTCAATATTAACAGACATCAGAAAAATTTGGATTCATTTGCCTCTCATCTTAATGTTTTGATTTACTTCATTCCCTTTCAAAAGATTTTAGCATTATAGGCTGATTTATACGTTTTCCACTTCGAATACAGCTACACTACAATTATATTTGGATTATTTAAATATCTCCCCAGGCACTAGTCCTAATTTAAATGTGTTCTTTTCCAACAGGATCTAGTATAGAGACTGAGATAATGCCAAGAAAAAACGCCAGAATTCCAGCCCAGATTAATCAAAGGGAAAGATATAAAACCCTCAAAGATACATCTGAGAAAGGTAGGAAACGCAATATTGGTTCTAGTAATCCTGGAATGTCAACGTCTCTACCTAGGGGACATGCAACAGTAAATGTAGACGAACAGGAATCAGACGAAACATTTTCTGATGAATCCGATAGTTCAGTATATACTGGCAGGAATTTAGAAAACGATTCTGATGATCAAAGCAGTGAACATTCAGACGATTCTGACAATGAAAGCAGCGAACAAAGTAATGAACTTTCCGATTCTTCAATACAGTTTGTGGAGGAAGCAGACGAAACTGATTCTGATGATGAAAATAGCAATGAAAATTCCGATTCTTCAGTACAGTCTTCCGATTATGAAAGAGACGTAGAACGGAAGTCAGATGAATATGTTTACCGACTTCTCCGAATTGGCGAAATCTATCAAGATGGACTGTTTCCGAAAAATAACCTCTCCAGAATAACTATTCAACAACATGTAGAACATGGAAGCAAAGGACAAGAATCAAAGTTTGTATCTTGCTGTAAATCACTTTCTGGTATAGAAAGGCTGGGAAAATATACCAATATGCCGAATTATGTAAAAGACGTGGTAAGGATCAATATCAGCAAATTGAACAAAACAGCCAAAGTCATTGATCTGACAAAGGGGGAAATACGAACACAGTACATTGATCCGTGGTCAACCGCCTGGGGATATGCGGAGAGATTTCAAGAAGTCATTATAGAACCAACGTCCCATGTTAAGCCAGAATTTGTAGAGAAAATTGGTGAAATTCATCACGGATATTTTCATCCAATATAGGCTGTTTGGGAAAAACATTATCAGCTTCAGTTATTTCTTGCAGTTTATTAGTTTAAGTTTTTTTATTATTCGATCATAACAGTAGCTCAAAAATGAAGAAGAGGAAGAGAATTATTTAGATGCAAGGGGGTATATGCCCTATAAAATATAGCATATACCTAACATTTACATGTACATGACATTGTACAGAACAATATCTATATAATGGATATTAATGAATACATAAATGAGGCCCTCACTCGCAAACGATCCATGCTATTTGCAAAAGCCAGAGCAGCTGTTCGTAATCACCGAGCTCAGGGATGCTGGACTTATGACGGTAAAATTTATGTCAAGATAAACGACAAAAAAAAGGGTAATTATCAAAAATATCAACGATATAGATAACCTGGTGAGCGAAGACAGTTTGGCAGGTGACGTAGCAGATGATGAGATGGAGGAGGGTGAGCGCTCATATTCGACGGTGGTCAAGGCCAGCCCGGTTGACTCATCGACCTCAAGTCCTACCGGAGATCAAGGTATGACCGGTGATAAAGGTGTGACTGGAGATCAAAGTACAACCCTCGGTGATGATTTAAATGGCTGAACATATATATGTTTGAGTTTAACATGCCTACATCACTTGTAATCTGCCTATTTATTACCATCCCCCCTTTTTATTATTATACATAAAAATTGCGGATATAGCGGACTGTGTATGCCTTTACATGCAACATGTCTAGGACTATTTTTGTTTAGTACTTTAGTTTTGTTTGCATGCAATCCTATATTATTAGGGTTCAAGTATGATCCCTTCTTTTTTTCATTGTACATATGTTATTTGCCCTTTACTGCTACCCAAACAATTCGTTTTTCTGTTTTTCTCGTGACTGTTTTATTTGTTTCTTTTTTTGTTAAATCGTTTTTTTTTTTATGCTACAAAAAGAAAATGTGATTGTCCACCTTCTTTCCAGAAATTTTTTTTTATTTTTTGATTTGACACTTATATTTATTCCTGTATGCGGCCTGAGTACCAACCCTACATTATCATGCCTTAAAACAATAAAGGATAATGGGTAACACGCTTATGCAGCATCGTGCCGCTATAGGAAACTTCTGTCTAGCATGTAGATGTATAAACATATCTTCCATTTTTGTATATAGATTTGGAAAGCTATTAGAACACGTACTCAAAATGCTAAAAAAGTTCTTTTCTAAGGACTTAACAAAAGTAATAAGATCATTGGTGTCTGTAACTTTTTTCTTTCACGTTAGTATGATTGTTTTATTGTTGTCGGGTGATATTGAGGTCAATCCCGGTCCCACACACGAGAGTGTCCTTGACATATTCCACTTAAACATTAGAAGTATTAGAAACAAGTTAGACTATTTAAAAGCAATGGTTCACGATTTTGACATTGTGTGCTTTACTGAAACTCATTTAGATAGCAAAGTATTGAATGATGATCTACAAATTGATGGGTTTAACAACATTATTCGTAAAGATAGAAACTCTTTTGGGGGCGGTGTAATGATATACTTGACTAATTCAATATCTGTACGTCGTCGAGTTGAACTAGAACCGACAAATATTGAGTGCATTTGGATTGAAATAGAACATCCTACCTGTAATTATTTATTATGCTGTGTATACAGCCCGCCTCAGACTGGTAATGTCTTTTGGAGAAATTTTTCCTGGTCATTAGATAAAGCCCTTGATTTATCCAATAGAATAATAATTGTTGGCGATATCAACATAGATTTTTTTAAACATTCCTCCTTCACATGAAATACACGATATTATAAACAATAATAATCTCACTAATAGAATCCATGAACCAACGAGAGTCACGAACACCACGCAAACACTTATTGACCCGATTCTAACAACACATAACGTTGACGCAAATGAGTCAGGTGTTCTAAATATAGACTCCTTTTTAACTGATCATAAAGCGACCTATATATCAATTTCTCAACACTATAATCTCAATCGTGCATACAAACGTAAAATTTGGCAGTATAAAAATGCTGATATTGAAAAATTTAATTGAATCATGTGACTGGGACAGATTAATTTGCAAATCAGAAAATATAGACACAGCCACTGAGCCTTTTACCTTACAGTATCTGTCATATGTTCGTGAATGCATACCTGAAAAAACTATAACTGTCCCAGATAGCAAGACTATGTTGGGCCAACACTGGGAAAAGGTTGTATTAGTTGGAGTTAGGGGAACTACGTTGGGCCAACGTTGGACCAATGCTACCATGTCAACCTTCTCGACCATGACAGATTTCCTATGTTGGCCCAACGTTGGTCCAACGTAAGCAATTTCCATTCACTTTACTTTCCAAGGAAGGAAGGATGCTGACGTTGGCCCAATGTTGGCCCAATGTATATAATACAACCTTAAAGAAAGTGTCTTTTCAAATTGGTAGTTGTATGTTGGCCTAACGTTGGCCCGATGTTTGTAGTACACCCGTAAAGAATGTGTCAAATCAAGTTGGTAGTGGTATGTTGGCCCAAGGTTGGCCCAATGATTGTAATACACCCTTAAAGAAAGTGTCTTATCAAGTTGGAAGTAGAATGTTGGCCCAACGTTGGCCCGATATTAGCAAGAGTGTTATTTTGTGTAGGTGTTTCAAAGATGGGATATTTATATTGGGCCAACGTTGGTCCAATTATTATACTGCCAACTAAATGATGGTGTCAATTTTATAATTAGCTGCTGAGCTTTACGTTGGGACAACGTTAGTTCCAAATATAAATTTTGATGCACATTCTGAAATAATTAAGAGGATATTCTATGTCCATGCTTTTCATTGGATGATTGCTTTTGTTTAGATATGATATTTTCAACATTTTAACTTTGAACATACGTGATCACAGCACCAAAGAGTGTTTTATTCTATTTTTTTGAATTGTATGCCTGCTTATTTATTTGTAATAAAACGCTTAAAATTATGATTTTTTTCATGAGCGTTGTATTCATGAGAATTTAGAGAAGACTGAATAAATCTTAGTTAAAAATTCTCAGGAACAGGATGTGAATCCCAGATAGCAGAACATCGTTGTTCCAATCTTACATTATGTTTGTATTATCGCTGTTGGGTTACCTTTATTAGGCCAACAATGGTCCAACATGGAATATTGATACTAGTAGTTGGTTATGTATAAAGGGGCCAATGTTGGGCTAACTGTTGGCGTTAAATCATAAAACTATTATCGTGAGAGAAAATATTGTTGGGAGATTGGCATCGGCCCCAAGTTGGCCCAATATACCATGAATCTAGCTGAGCATCTTGGGTAGATAACATCCGGGCTACTTGTAATATCCGCGCCATTTTTAATCTGACAAGAGCGTAATGAGACTGATGCCTTGCATATCTTCATCCACTTTGTAAGTATTTATAATATCTTTGCTTTGACACAGCTTAATTAACGTTTTATTAGTTTAAACGATATCGTGTACAAATCTGTGTAAATCAGTGCAGAGGCCAGGTGCTGTTGAGTCAACACTGTCCCTGATAGCATGCTAACATTGGGCCAACAGTGGGCCAGTGTTATCGGTTACATTGGGCCAATGTTGGCAAATGACATTGGCCCAATGTAAGTTTGCTTATTGGCCCAATGTTGGCCCGATATGTTGTGCCAACGTTTGCCCAATATAGAGTGTTACTGCTACAGATATTGGCCCAATGTTGCGACAACATTGTCCAATTGAATGCGACATTGGGCCAATCTTGGCCCAACGTCAACAAGAACATTGGGCCGATGTTGGCAAATGACGTTGGCCCAGTGTCATTTTGCTTATTGGCCCAATATTGGCCCGATACATTGGACCAACATTGGGCCAATGTGTATAAACATTTAATTGTTACAAATCTGTATATTAACAAATCTGATAGTCTCTAAAATCAGAAATAAATCTACCACCAATCCTTCTTGAAAATACAAGTTAGCTAAAATAAATTTACAAAGCTTGTTAAAATTCTTAAGATTTATCAAAACAAAATAAATTATCAGTGATTAAATTTATTGTTTCTATACAAGAAAAATAAATGAAAGTATCACTACTGGCTTTTAAAACCCCTGTCCGTATGAAAATCCACTGTCTTTCTCTGTATCCTACAGCATTTTCACAGGAATCTACAGTATATCTACAGTATGCTACGGTATGCTAGCTCTGTATATACAGTAAATCTCTGTTTGCCACTGTATGTATCCCCAGCATGCCACAGTTACATACAGTAGGCCCCGATACGCCTACAGTATGCCACTGTATGGCTACTGTTTCCTACAGACAACTACGGTAAACCACAGTATATGCCCCAGTACGCCCCTGTATATGTTCATTGAAGCAAAAAGAAGAAGTTTACACACTCCCAGAGCACTGTACGGTTACCTAAGATGGGGGATTGTCAATTTAGTACACAGAGTTACTTACCTAAGAAATTTTTGAACATTATTTTAAACACATGGTAGTATTTTTTTTTAAGTGTTAAGAGACTAATTTTGTTCTTTTTATAACTCTGAAATAACTATGAAATATTAATAAATTGTTGCTTGAAAGAATATTTATCTATCAATTTTTAAAATTAATTATTTAATTATTCTTTGGTTTGATTTATTACTTAATCTATTTATTTTGCAAACACCTATTTAATGCATAAAATACTTAGAGTGACTTTGAACTTTAAAAAAAAAACACGGCCGGGGAAATGCTGAATTTTGGAAAATTGTAGTTTTTAAAATCGATATGGTTTCCTTGAATAAATAAATAAAATTAATTAAATGAAATTAATCATTTTAAAAACAAATCAATTTATTTCTTGACAAATACAGAGCTGCATAGTAAACTCGGCACAAAATAAATAAGGTGAGGTGGTAAGTGAAAATTAAATAAAATAAATGACCTTAAAAATACAAAATTAATAAATGAACTAATTATTTATCTTATTCATTTATTTGTTTATCATTTTATCTACAAATACATAGATAAACAAAATAAATAAAAATTAATTTATTTTTTTTGTAACTGACAAGACAACAAAGTGATTAAATACACACACACCCCCCCCCCCAATTGATTTTTTTAGTTTTATTTTTATGTGAAAATCATTTCTCCTAAAATATGCTACAAAGTATTTTTTAAGCATATGAAAACAAATTCCAATAATTTTACCTACATGATGGATATCAAAATA